CTTCCCGAGTGCAAAGATGCGCTGTACGGTTAAAAAGGCCTCAGACAGCAAAAAAGCGAGCAGCGGCGCATCCCGTCACAGCCTTTTGAGGTGAGGCATCGCACAGGAGCCGCCGCGCCGAAAGACGGGGAGGGAGGGGGGGGGGGGGGAAGGGGGCACGCAAGGCGCACAGCTGCATCTGTTGCTTCTTTGGGGTTCTCCGTCTTCTGCTCCGAAGACGTCACTGCCTCTCTGAGAATGCAACAAAGAACAAGGCTGCAAACGGTCAGGGGGAAGGACGTCTGCTCTTGCTGCTGAGGCTTCTGGAGCGTTCCGAGCTGCAGCAGCAGCGGTCAGGCTGGCTAGCACACCTTTTAACTTCGGATGTCTTTGAATCGACGGCCATATCACCCCTGCACGGAGAGCCACAAATCCTAAACCAGACGGCCTGAGTTGGAGAATTATAAGAGGCTAATGTTAGGGGTGAAGGGGCGACTAACTAATAGAGTACGTAGCAGCAGGGCTTCACAGCATTCGCGCCTTACTCTGTGCTTGTGTCTTTTGTTCCTGCACACAAAAGCACCGGCAGCGACGACAGCCCATGAGTCATGCTCCTTCCATCCGTGTCTTGTGAATTTCGTCTCTCTACCTCTTGCTGGCTTCCTCCCCCTTCTTCCTACGGTACGGCGGTCCTCATCAACTCCCCTCAATCATCAAAAGGTGATCCCCCCTCTCATTGCCCCTATCCCACCTCCCCCCAGCCAACACGCCGAATGCATCAACGAAATTTACGCCTCCTGCCACGAAAATGCTCAACCCTTCTTAAAGTAGAGTTTCGCCGCCTTTCCTGTATGCATGTGTGTGTGTGTGTATGAGTGCATGCATGTGTGTGTGTGTGTATGGGTGTATGCATATGTATGCATGTATGGGTGTTGGTCATACCTTTCGTTTTAGCAGCAGCAGTCGCTTTGGTTGTTTTTTGAGCTTCCTTTGATGATTCCTTCTGCCTTCGAGCCGCTGCTTGTCTCTTCGCACTGGTGCTCAGGATGGCCTTGACTGACTTCGTGCCGTCCGTCTTGTTTTCTGCCATGTTCAGAGGCGGAGGATAGCTGAACTGGGAAGGGTTGGAGGCACTGCATGCGATCCGCCATCCACACGGCATGCGCAGGCAGGCGTGCAGCGGCTGTTGTGGCTGCTGCTGATGCTCTTTTGTTGTCGAGGCTTGACCATCGACCTCAATCGCAGTGCCTCCCTCGGCGTCTTCCTTCTGCTCCTCCTCGCCTTGCTTCCCTGCCGCAAATCCCTCTGCGCTGACTTCTGCCGCTGCATCGGGAGCTGAGGTGTCCAGGGGCTTCTTGTCTGCTGCATCTTCCTCCTTGTCCTCAGCAGCAGCAGCAGCAGCAGCAGCAGCAGCAGCAGCAGGAGTAACGGGAGGCGTCTCGTCATGAGCCACAAGACCAATAAGGCCCTGGGCCTCAAAGGAAAGGCATGCACAGTACACCAGGGGATGCCAATACCAAAGCTGCTCGAAGAGACACAGTCCTGCGACTGCACCCCTGCGCAGCACCTTGCGCGGGCTGAAGAAGCCTGCACACACATTCCGGCCCTAAGCAAGCACACACACACACACACATATATATATATATATTTATATATATATATTTATACATAAATACACACACATATATACATGCACATACATACACATTCACATGCATACATACATATTCACATGCACACATACACATTCACATACATATAATACACATTCACATACATACACACACATTCACATACATACGTATTCACATACATACATACACATTCACATACATACATATTCACATGCATACATGCCAGCACGTAGCAAGCACACATCGTTGCAAGCACACATCGGCGCATGCGAACGGACTGCAGGAAAGCTTGGCCTCAGGATGCCGCCTGCAGTCCGAAAAGGCTGAGGTATAGAGTTTCGTGCTGAACGTGGAGGGCACTTGGAGGAATCCCTATACGCGGAGCACTTGAATTTTCTGCAGCAACAGGTATGCTTTGTTGGCTTGAAGGCGTGCTATATGTATATATATATATGTATATATATATATATATATATATATATATATATATGTATATATATAAGAAAAATGGTGAAGGCTGCCGGCCATACCCCAGCATCAACAAGTCCTGCAGCGATGAGCGCCCCGAACCGTGCGAGGGGATCTTCGTGCTTGTCTCGAATGACTTTCTTCAGCGACTCTCTGAAAGGGGAGACGGCCGCATCGTGCTGCAGCTGGTAGAGGAAGCCCATTCCAATGAAGGCGCCTGCAGGAGGTCAGGGAAGGCATGCGGCATGCGGCAGAGAGCAGCGTCAGACATTTATTTTGCTTTCAGCGGAAACAGAAAGGAAGCCTTCTGGAGAGCGCAACACAGAAGCCGCTTCACGCTACTTCGGCAGACACGACGAACAGGAGATGTGCAGGGAGTGCACGGCCTAACCCTTCCTCGATGGACCTTTCTATGTACCCGAATAATCATCCGTGTCACTCACCTTGTCGAACGAAGTCTGTGGGATCGCTGCTCAGCGCCTTCAGAACCTCCCCAGCCTCCCGCAGACCGCTGCCTGCCAGCCCAACACCCAGAGAAACTGCTGCGCCGTATCGCACGTGGGGGTTGTAGCTCCCACACAAGAGCCGCATCACTCGAAGCAACTGCATGCATTAAAATTCACAGCGCAAAGCCCTCGCATGCAACAAGCCGCAAGGCCTGACAAAACGTGCGTGGTGCCCTAGGGGGAGGAACAGAGCAGCCAGCGCACACAGTTGAAGCTGGACAGAAAAGATTCCAGCCTCGACCCCAAACGTAACGAGAAGCAGGAAAGGAGGGCTTATCGGGGAATGCACGCGGCTTATCTCGGCAGGGGAACGCTGATGAGTCAGTGCCTCTCCCAGTACCAGCAAAAAAGCCGCAGAAAGAGTGAGAAGGCTGCACAGCAGACGGCCTAGGGGGAAGTGAGCCTCCTACATACCTCTTCTTTGTGGGCGCAAAGGACAAACCCCAACGAGAGTACTGCAGCCCTCCTTACGTCGTCATTAACATCCGCTACCCCCAAATGCAACAAGCGTTCGACAGCTCTTTTCTGCAGAAGCATCACAGGCCAGCGACCAAAGGCAGGAATGCCGGAGAATCTCGAGATAGCAAACTTCAGTCGCATTTCCTAAACTTAAAAGGACTCGAGATATGATAATGCACAGAAACACGGACACACACACACACACACCTAGGCAGTAACACTGTGTGCAGGAGAGGCTATTTGACGACGGTTTCAAGCTGAATAATATATATTTAGAAGGCGTGGGAGCTAGAGACCGCCCTCTATTCAGCATCCCAGACAAACACCCCCAACAACCCCGAGCAGACCTTGCCAGTTGCACAGTACGCGAGTCCAATAGCAAAGACTCCGCCATAGCGTATCAAGGGGTCAGACTCAGCCAGACACTGTCCAATCAGCTCATCTGCCTGCAAACAAAGAACTCCCAAAAGAGGCAGTGGGGCTATCTCTATTGCGCAAGCAAGCAGGCAGACAGACAAGCACGGTTTCTCCTACACCCCCAAACGGCACATGTGGGTTGCATATGCAGGAATTGCACACTCCACGCCTCCCCAAATCCCCCCCAACGTGCTCTCCGAAAGCCTAGCGAACGCGGACAGGTGCTTCGAGGAGAAAGCGAACCTCTTCCTCCTTCTGGAAGGAGATGAGCGAAAGGGCAACAGCGCAGGCCCTTCCGATCTTCTCGTGCTGCGTCTCCTTTGCATACCCCAGCAGCTCCGCCGCTACTGCTGCATTACCAGACCCCATCAACAACAAGCCGATGCCGAGAGCTGCGGCTTCGCCAATGACAGCCGAGTCCAAGAATAGCAGCGTGCGGAGCGCCTCGTACGCCTCTGATGCGACGGACGCACACACAGCCAGAGACACACAGACAGATGGAGGGAAACTCGGCGTTCAAGAGACTCAAGCCACAGCCTGCAGAAGCAGAACCGACAGATCTCAAGCTCCCCTAGTCCTCGCCCCTTTGCCGAGAGGCACAGAGAATTTCGCCTTCAAAAAGACTCCAGCCTGCACTGCGTCACGTCCTCGCCACAGGCGGCGTGCCCGTCAGCGCGTGCGCAGTCTACCTGTATCGTTGGCATCTCCCAAGCACACAAGGCCTAAGCCGAGGCATCCGCCGTGCAGAAGAGGCTCCTTGTCTGTCTGATTGGTCTGCTTCAGAGCAGACAAGATGAGCGCTCGAATGCGGGGACTGGGTGCTCCACTGTGAATCAAGCCCAACGCAAAAAGAGCCCCCCCTTCTGTAGAGGGGGCACCTGATGCCGACGACACGCCAGGAGTGTCGGGAGGCAGATACGTTTCCAACACGCTCAAACTGCTCCGCATGTTGCCCTTTGAAAAAAACACAAACAAACCCACCACGCAATCCGAACCCATCTGTACAGCGTAGACGACACAGAGAGTGGAGGCTGACGAACGCTCCGGCAAAATGCAGTCTCTCTCGCCACGAAAAAAGGACGGTAGGGGGTATCACCACAACCAATCCCAGCACGCCTATTGCAGTCGCCTCTGAGCGAGCCGCTTGTGTTTGCTTAATGAGCAAACCAGAAACAATTGACCAAACCAAAACATGCACCACACAAACTAGTAGCAGCTCAGAGGCACTCAATATCAGCGCCTCTTTCGTGCCGCTCCCCTCCCCTTTCCCTACCCACCCCCCTTCCCACAGAGGTGTGCAACGGCGACATGGCCCACACATCTGTCACCGGCTACGCCAACTTCAAAAACCCGACGGCTAATTCCTTCGAAAAAAAACCTGAACTCGATGCTCGACTCCCCTCCCCCCCCCGAAAAGCCAGAGTGCTGCGCTATCTCTTAACACGCGCAGGCATCTCAGAGAACCCCCCTCCCCCCACAAAAGACGCACATCCACTAACGAAGCCGATGCACGCGAGCAAGGGGTTGGCTGCCTATTTGGCAAAATTCTCCAACTTTCAGCTGCGCCGCAAACATCCCCAAACCCTTTCAACTGCTCACCCTGTGAATCGCTCCAATAGAGGCTGTAGCCGAGAACTTCGTCCAACTAACAGCTCTGCCCATCCAGTCCAAGTTTTTTCTTAAAAACGCATCGCACGCCGTTCCACTTTGCTGCAACGCGTGCGCCAGCAGCAGGCCGTGATGCAGCAAGGACTGACGGCCGTCTACGGAGCTCTGCGTCTCGCAATCCACAAGCGTTTCTACAGAAAAATTTACGATCTAGAAAGACACAGGAGGCACTGCATTGCATCGCATTGCACATGCCACCAGGCATGCGAGAAAGGGAGGCGCACGCTATGCAGTCGAGTCAAGGCACTCGCAGAGAAAAAAAGGATGGCTCGGCATAGCACGGCACAAAGCTACCCGAGATGAACGTTCCTGCTGCCCGGCTGTTTCACGCAGTCTGAAGCCAACATGTCGAGCTGCTGAAGGGCAGGCACCGCGTATAGCGATTGGGCGCTTCTGACTGCAAACGCACCTTATAGAGGTCGAGCAGCTGGAGATCTGTGTGGCTTTTTCTGTTTAGAAATTGCAGGCGGAACTCAACAGAGGCGCAGCCCGAGACGATACTGCGTAGCACCGCAAGCTGCATGCACATGCACACCAAAGTTGCACACGCCAAACACTAAGCCACAACGAGAGGCGTGTTTTGTTGCGGCAGCTGAATCCCCCTCAACCTCGCGTCCTCCGCATGGAGGAGGAGCGACCGGCAAACACATTGCAGTCAAAGCCTCAGGAGACGCAGACTTTTTAAAACGAGACGGCCATGAGCGCTCATTGTGGAGTTTGACCAAAGGGGAATTCAGACACCTTTCTTAGGTATGGATCGCTGGAGTTTGCGGCTCTCGTCTCTGCCGCCTCTGCAGCTGCCAGAGCTGCTGCTGCAGCGGCTGTAGAAGTCTCTGCCGCCTCTGCGGCTGCTGCAGGTGCAGCAGATGCCACTGCTGCGCCTTCACCTTGCTCTGCAGGCTGCTGCTGCTCTTGTTGCTGCTGCTGCTCTTGCTGCTGCTGCTGCTCTTGCTGCTGCTGTTGCTCCTCCTGCTGCTGCTGCTGCTCCTGCTGCTGCTGCGGTTCCTCCTTCTGCTGCGGTTCCTCAGGAGCAGGAAGAGCCAAAAGAGGATGTTCTAGAAGAGCTTGCATTTGGCTTGGTCTCTCTGCATGCACAAGCCGAAATTCGAAGAAGTCGAGAAAAAAACACTGAGCACCAGAGACTTCCAGCACCCGAAGGTTCCGTCCGAATCGCCCACTCTTCAAGCTTAAGGCTTTACAAAACGCATAAAGCGCACCGAGATCCATGAGATCGAATGCAATCTGATAAGCAACGAGTTGTGGGCGTTCTAAGGCTGGGGAGGAAGGCGCCGTCAAGAAGCTGTTTAGAAGGGCAGCAACTGCAGGCACGTCGCCTTGCACGATGAGACAGCGGCAGAGCTGCCTGTACACCTCAGGCTGTTGCGTGGCAGACAAACCGTCCAGAGCCTCCCTATACAGCCGGATCAGCAAGCCCAAGACCTCCGTGCGAAAGGCTTTAGACGGCACCAATGCATGCAAATTCATTGCGAGGTACTGCACACAAATGTATGTACATGCACACATGTACGTATATGCACACATACATAACAAGCGCAGAATAGCGTGAAACTGGCGCTTCGCGCATGGTAGTAGAGCCTTGACTTGGCTCAAAAAACGAGGCAGTAAAGGGGGAGGAAGACGGAGAGGAATGCGCGCGTGCATGGCGTGTCTGTCCTCTTCCACACCAGGAACCTTCCTTAACCTATTCCCCTCCCCCCCCCCCCAAAGTAAACCATAGCACCGCTTTTTTCGTCAAAAAAACCCTCGAAGCAACGCGTCATAACGGCTCCGAACCTGCGGCTTACATTTAGCATGGGGAGCTTGTCTGGAGCCGAGGAGAGTAGCAACTCTACCTCAGCTAAGCGGCGGGAATCCAGAGCGATGCCCAAAGCATTAGGTGCTCCAGAGCCTCCTGCTGCAGCTCGCAGCTGCTGCAGCACTACTCGCTCAACTGCTGCGTGGAACGAGTCGAGCGCAGAGCCTGTGCAACACCTCAGAAACAAGTCACCTAACATCGAGGTCTTCGCTAGCGGAGGGAAGAGGAGGCAAGCAATGTCAGAAGCAGGCGCACACAATGCACTGCAACAGACAAGACACAGCGGGGGAGCCACATCACAACAGCAGGATAAGCAGCAGCAGCAGAAACAGCAGCAACAATAAGGGCATTTTCAGAGAGAAGCAGCAGCAACAATAAGGGCATTTTCAGAGAAAAGCAGCAGCAGCAGAAACAGCAGCAACACCCCACTCGTTCTCGTTGACGAAGATGCGGCAGGAGCAAGGGTGCTCGCAGGGCAGGAGGACTCATTGGCACCCCCCCCCCCCCCTTCTGCTGGCTTTTGCGCCGAAAGTTCATTATCGTAGGCTTCCGTTCTGTACCGTATATACTCGTCAATGCACTCAGCTGCACACACACATAGATTCCACGAAAGGCGAGACAAAGCGTTCTTCAAGCTCTTGACCCCCTTCAGCCTCACTACCAACACCGACTCCCCCAGACTCCGCATCCAATGCTCCTCACCCTTACCCCTTCGGTTCCAGTGTCTCCCCCCTACCGTTCCTTACCCAAGATGGTCTGTGAATAGAGAGAGTTGTCGTTGAGCTGCAGCCAGTCGCCAGATTCCAGCGCGAACTTGAGAGAATCCGCCGAGGCCTCTAGATGGAAGTAAATGCGGCTAGCCAAATGAGCGGCTAGCTGACGGCTCGGAAAGGCTTCCTCCTCTGCCAAAGCCTCGCTGCGGCACACGAAGGCGTAGAAAAATTGGAGGCGGATCTCGCGCACGCAAGCGCAAGAGAGCACAGCCTATTGGGGGAGTAGCAAGGCATTGGAAAGAGGGGAAATGTGCATAGGGGGACCCCTGCAACAATGAACTGAGGCAGACGCCAAACGTTCGACTCCCCGAAATGCAGAGCAAACGAAGGAGGGAGTAACTGGTGAGGAGGGATGCAACAAAATACGGCCACGAGCAGAATTTTAGAGACACACGCTCACGGGAACCAAGGGGAACTGGACTGCACAATAAGCAAAGTAATAAGCTCTGGTATTGTGTTTCAGGTGAAGAACTCCTACAGGGGGGCCATACTCTGGGAGCAGCCGTTGAACAGCTGGGAAATGGCGTCAAGGTCGAAAACTGTCTGAACCCGCGAGCAAGCCGTGAGCCGCAAGGCGGGTAGAAAGAGCGAAGTCATGAAATAACTTACATGTCGGGGAGAGCATCAGCGAGCTCCATCCAGTGAACGTCCACCAAATCCTTGAGCTCCATGAGAGCCGCCTGCTGAATATCCGTGTCATTCTCCTGTAACAGTGCGAGAACGCCTTGCGCTGAGGAGGGGGCCGAAAGCCAGTGGTGGGGTGGGTAGACACCTCCTTTTCCCCGCTTTTGAACGTGCTTAGACCCTTCGGGGAACCCCGAAGGAATGCCCGTTGACACCATAGCCATCGTTGTCACGCTCCAAGACACACGCCTGCCTGTGCCCACGGACTGTGGTGATGGGGGTTGACGAGGCGCGCACAATTAGGAGGCGAACGAAGTGGACCTACACCTCAAAACCGCTCCTCTGTGTGACGGCAGCAAAGAGACACAAGTGTCAGAGTGCAAGCCTAAGGGGAAGAGTCCTACGCTCAGATAGCAACACCAGCAGCCCCTGCCTGCTCCCGCGTTTTGCCGTGGAACGGATCAGTTCGTCAGCAGCAGTAACAGCTGTAGGGGCAAAGCCACAAGTGTCAGCAGAATCCTTTAGCAATTCTGTCGAAAAAACAAGCTTACGCTGTGTGCAAAAGGGAGAAAGAAATCTTCCTTCCTTGTATAGCCCCGTAGAACGGCGGCAGTGGCCCTCCTGCTGGCTTAGAGAGGGAAAAGCAGACAAACCCCAGGGATCGAGGCTCCTGAGGCGCTTATTCCAGAGGAAATACGTACAAATAGAGGGAAATTTATCGGGCTGCAATGAAAAGGAACTTCAACTTGGGGGCGGCCGCATGCTGGGGGTCGTCGCCGGTTACACGGAACAGCAAGCCTCTGAGGTGTATGTACACCAACGCTTGTCTGCTTTCTTTTTCGCTAAGGAGGCATCCATGGCCAAAGCATAACGCTTCCATTTAGCCAATATACCCAGAAAGTCTCCATGCTCCCACTTACGGACGCAGTTCCCGTGCCTCTCACATCCGGTTGTGGTATAAAGGATATGGTGGATTGATTGCACGTAAAGCACACCCGCCATGTCGCCCTTGAGCAGGGACGGTGCTGAGAAGAGGGCTAAACAAAAAGGCGCCGAGGTTCTCAAGCGCTGCAGCGTGTATTCGACACAACACAGCTGTCCATGAGGGGGTGGACACGGGTCTCCGCACAACACACGCAAAGGTTTCACTCCCTAGGATTTTTCGGACGTGGGGCACCTAAACCACACCGTATACCAGCATCGCGAAAAGATGCTGAGAAAGGACATGCCAATTTCGTGCTTGTAATGGCTCAAGGGGACGACGAATGCAACAGGCAACGCTAGACATGGAAACTCTCTACTACACTAGAGATAGTGAGCGAAGAACTGGCACATAGTCGAATAACTATATACTTGTTGGATAGCTTGATTACTGCAGAATACTGTACACATAGCGCTAGCTGCCATGCCTGCTACACGTAACTAACTCTGAATGCTTGGAATGCCTCAACGGTTTAAGAACACGCATTATAGCTATTCCTCAAATCAAAAACCCTACGGGGAATGGTCAGGGAAAGGCAGCAGCTTTTGGAGTCAGCACTCTGCAACTTTATTTCAGATTTGTATTGAATCTACCGTGGAGTTCACGACTTCACACAATACCTGGTTATCCACTTTATGGCACTTTAATATTTGAGAAAGCCTTAGCAGAAAAAATCTTCCAATGGATCGGTATCTCGATTAGTATAAGCCTTTGATACACAAAAGCCACGATGTAGTAGAAGGCTGCTATCTCAATAACTATCTTGAGTCTACCCGAAGTGGCACGACAGGTGGTCAACAATTTACCACTTTATCTATTGACCAGTGATGCGTTTACATATGCTGGTTTACCTCAAGCCTCAAAAGCAAATAAGCGCAAATCCTGCGCTCTTACCTGAAGAAAAAAGCAAATCGGGAAATGGACCTACGAATGTCGTAAAAGTGTCGACTGTCCTAGCGTATAGTCCAACATGCAGGAGAAAAGAAAGCCGACGGGGAACCAAACCGCACTCCTGAGTAGCCCTAGACACCCCCCGACAACGCATTTGCCATTGGTGTGGGAATTCGGGTCACGTGATCCTGAGCTTCGAGAGCCTGCAAAACGCTAAAGAGTGTGGACAGCGAGAATGGACATAGGCTACCTGGCAAACAGACAAGGGGCACCCGGGAAACGGAATTATGTGTATTGTCGTCAGTTTCAATAACCTGCTTCCTTTATTTGAGATATCTACATGCAAACACATGGCTTAAGGTTCAATCAAAACTTCACACAAAGGAGACACTTAATTACAGGCTCGATTGAGCTTCAATACAACGATATTAGGTATTCCTCGAAGGAACTCCCCCCATTCGCTGCCCGCGCCTCTCAGGATTCCGCCTTGATAGGAGAGGGACAGCTAGGATGTGTGGAGTTGTACCCTCTAAACACTCCGAGCAGTCACAGCTAGCTGCACATGGCTTCCAACTCCCATGCGTCTTAACTTGAGGAACTCGCCCTCGTCGAAAGCGGCTGTCCCTTGAGACCAACTGTATGCCTGTCATGACAAGGATTCAACCCTACCGCCAATCACCAGGCCGGCCACAGTGCAAATGCAGTGCGAATAAAGCAAGCAAATATGTGCGTCAACCGTGAAAGTGAAATTTAGCGTGAAAAGGACACACGCACACATTAGTGAGCAATGAACCAGGGACCAAACCAACACCACCGCGGTAGTGCGATGCTTCGCTGCCATCGAAGAGCTAAAAGGTGAGGCTTCTCTGTTGAGAAACAGTAAACAAACAAAAGTTGTACAGTGCATCAAGATGCGCTTTACTTCAGTAGTGCCTCCGTGCCTCTTAGAGCAATGCCTGAACGCAAAATATATTTGGTGCAAACAGCATAGACATCTCCAAAAAACCGAAACCGGCCCACGGAAGAATGTAGAGAAAATATAAATTGGTATAGATCTGAGCGTAGAGACCATTACAACAATATACCAGAGCAGTAGTGCAATATCAATTGAAAAAGTTAGTTATCAGAGAAAGCGTGAGCTGGAAAAGGAAATTTCAGAGGGACGCGAGAAATTTCGGTCATAGTGACCCAATTTGCAAGCAAAGCAGAGCCGCAAAAGCTCCCGCCAGCAGCACAGTCGGCACAAAATCCATCGCCAGCTATCAATATTGGTGTTTTCTACCACGTTTTAGTTGAAGTCTTTGTAGTACGTGCCTTCTAACACCCCCAAATCCTCGAATTCGACCGTTCCTGCTCTCTGTGTGTCCTCCGCTGCCACACGGCTCGCTGGTTTGTGCGGCAAAACCCGACAGTAAATCAAAAAGTATGGACACTACATTCATCTGGCACCTCCAACTTTTTAGGAATATCAATACAGTAATAAAAAGCAGAAAACTGTGACTACAGCAAACCGCCCTAGCCACCCAATCGCAAACGTTGTTGTCTGGTAAGCGAATGGGCCTCACAAGGCCTGCTCGTCCACCAGGATTAAATCTATAGGCTCGAAAGACACAGCCAGTCGGAGCTCACCATGATTCCGCGCTTAGCTCATTTAACCTTTGCGCGAGCACTCGCGTGCACTAACCAGCTGTTCTGTCAGTCCGTACGTTGCTCAGGATGACTGCTGACCCCAATCTACTAGGTCCAGGCCTTAATCGGAAAGAGGTTCCTCAGTGTAGATCAGGCATGCGGGAGAGCATTGGGGAGACTAGCGTACCGTTCTAGATATCTTCGCTCAGTGCAACGGAGCAGCGACAGTCAAATAGCTGGATGCTTGTCAAAATGGCTTCATAAATGCCGCGGAAGACTGCGATGGATGCGATATATCTGCCCTTTCGTTTCAGCATGGTTCGCAGCGATTGCACAAAAGCTCGTACCCGCATGAGACTATTGCGTAAACCGTGACGAAGACCCAACTTCCCAATAGAAGCAGATGCGTTGTCGGGGGGTGATTGGGGTTACTCAGAATCGCGGTGTCGTTCTCCTTTGGCTTTTTTTTTCTCCGCGCACATTAAACTGTAGGTGAAGGACAGCCTACACTTCCCCGACATTCGTAAGTCAAATTCCCGGTTTGCTTTACTTCTTCAGCCCAAAGCGCAGGATTTGCGCTTAAATTTGCTTCCGAGGCATGAGGTAATCCAGCATGTGCGAACGCCTCACTGGATAGCTGATAAATTGCTGCGTTGTTACCAAGCCTACGACCACCTGTCGTGCCACTTCTGGTAGACTCAGGATAGATTTATTGAGATAGCAGCCTTCCTCTACATCGTGCCTGTTCTGTATCAAAGGATCATAGTTATCATGATACCCATCCATTGAACGGTCTTTTGCTTAGGCCTTTCCAATTTCTAAAAACCTTGCTGTTTAGCTGACCTCGGCAAAAACCGAGTAGTCACGGCTTCTGTGAAGGCTGAACTGTAGCAATGCCTGAAGGCAGAGGACTTCCTGGAGAGGACCTCTTTTGCACATAAGCATCCACCACCAGATAGCTTCCTTTTCCAGCAATGAGCACTAATTTGTCTTCACCTGTGGCCTAAAACGCGAAGTATACTTCTTCGTCCATTGATAAAATCTTCGTGAACTTGCCCATCCTTCCGGCCGTCATGCAATTTGTCTGCTCTGCATAGACGCACTGTTTTATCTAGACAGTTATCGGCTACAAAATCATACGCTTCTACCAGCTGTAGAGAAACTGAGTTCATATTAACTTGCAGGCCGGCTTGTGCCGCCCCAGCAAAAGTGGAGCTCCCGTCAAGACTCATCGCCAGAGGTTGTTTCTTTCAGAGTGTTACAAACGCATGCGAATGACCAAACTACCCGCCAACTTGAAACAAACCAGAAAACTTGCAGGGAAGCATGGAATTACATTACATGCACGTCCAGTGGATGAGCGGGGAACATCTGCACAGTACCGTGTTGCTGCCAACCGTAATGCCTGACATAAGGCCTGTGTGGGGAAGCTGCCAATGCTAGAATCGATACAAATTTTCTTTGTAGTTGCTGGGCAGTTTTCAAAAGGGCTCTTTTTTTGCTAACCGATCCCCTTAGGGGTTTTGACTTGATAGGAGAAAGACTGCTAGGCTGCGCTTTGCTGCACCCTCCAAGCACTCCAAGCATTCACAGCTAGTTACACATGGCAACTAGGGTACACGCACACAGCACTGCTTCATTGAATTTCGATTTACCAGCGCCCTACATTAGACAATATATGCGAACAGGCAAATTAACTGGCTAGTTCGTTACTAAATCGTGGTTAATCATGACTAGTGTAGAAGAATGCGCAAAAGCTTAAATTGTGCACTTTGCAATGAATGAATAACAAGAAATGCGTTTTTGCTATCGTGCAAGAACGCGTTCTCTGCATTTTCCATAGGAGGTGGCTTGTCACCTCGAGCCTATCAATAAAGTGGGTTTCCAGCACCTCAGTTCGACGAAGTACTTGAACTTTACAAAGCGTAGGAGCCCAGTGAGCATTTGCCTGCAAGGCCTTCTCACAAACCCCCTTTTGCCCTGGTATCTGACATCATCGGCACTCCCTAGTAACAGAGTCCAGCCGGAGTATTCCAGCATGTCCTTTGAATATGTACGTGCCCCAGAAGAATAGCGGTGGCGGGCTAACAGCCATGGTCCTTCTAGATTTACATAAGGCAGCCTGCGGCCACAGATTCTTCAAAATTAAGTAGAAAATTATGCTTTGTTCATTCCGAACAGCTCTGCTCTCGCATGGTTCTTGGTCCAAAAGGTTCCGGCACGACAGAAAAGAAGATAGTGAGACTGCGCATTGCCTGAATCTTTGAGCGCTTCAAGCATTCCACCCAAGCCATGCAACACGACTAAGTGCATTGGCTTAGATCGTTAAGTCTTACACAGCATGGCTAATTCTATTCTGAAACTAATTGCGTATGCGAAGAGCCTAGCCAAGCAGCCAATCCTAACGTTATTTTTGTTTAGCAACAGCTAGTCTCAACGAAAAGATTTAAGCTCAAATCGGTCTGCTACAGCAGGGGGCCTCAGGGTAGAACCACTCTTCTTGACGTAGTTTCCCGTTGTGCCGGTCATCAAAAGAAAAGGCCAGCTTGAAGTTGAGCAGAGAACCATACGTAATCGAGATTCTTCAGCGTGTTGCTATGATACGTAACATCGTACGCCCTGCGTGTGCTTTTCGATTTGCCACACTGACATTAAGTGGCTTCGCTCTACACCGCCTCTTTTAACATTGCATATTCGGAAGACAGCAATACGTAGGGTGCAACCAGGTATGGAGAGGTTCATATTTCGTTGTGCCTGTCCATCCAAAAGACTATTAGTTACTAGTGCAGGCCAGGTTAGTGGTGACAGGAGTGGATCCCTGAGGAACGCTGCTCGTTGTGTGGCATGTCAAAACAGTAGGGCAAATTTTTGTTTAGCTAAGGGAAGCGAAGGAGCCTGCCCTTACCTGAAAGTAGAATAAGGGAGAAGGCTCAATGTTTGTGCTAACCATAGTCTGCACTGCTCGAATACGCCTCAGAAACTGATGCGCACGGCCGAAATAGCCTTGAGTCCACAGCTCGTGTGGGCTTGACAATGGCTGAATTTTTACCATTGTCGATTGGGTGCTCACTAATGACCAACGTATAAAAATGCTTTTTAAAATGGGTATCAAAGGGTCGTGGGTTCAGCGTACCGTGCGTAGTTGGATCGTGGAGTGAGAGTTTGACAACTGTTGTTGCTTCCATGTGATGCAGAGAAGAGTGCACCTGTAGACGAGTACCAGGGCCATCCGCTGCAGATGTTATCACCATTAGCATCTAGCGGCACATATGGCCCTGTAACAAGGCGAACTGCAGATCAATTTTAATGTGGGGATCAATGGGTTGCCCGCGGAACTACATGATCACGAGGCCGTATGAGCAACTGCCTTAAACGTGGTCAGTCCAAAGGGAGCCACTTTGTAGCTCTGAGGTCCATCCTGGGCTGTCATGTTGGACTGGAATAGGTGGCTGCCTAATCTGTGATGCTTTTTTCAGACTGCTGCCTAAAGGCCTTTGGCGACGAGCTGCTCGTGCCTGTGCGGCTTCAGAGCAAATAAGACGAGAGCAAAACCTCCCTCTCAACCACCGTCGCTTAGACCCTGCTGCCTAAAGGCCTTTGGCGACGAGCTGCTCGTGCCTGTGCGGCTTCAGTGCAAATAAGACGAGAGCAAAACCTCCCTCTCAACCACTGTCGCTTAGACCAAAGGCCCTGAGCCACCCGGAGACACTTCAGCGGGTCGTACACTGATGGTTCGGAGCCAATCTGCCAAAACAGCAGGCGGCCTCTAAGCTTTCCAAGGACTGGAGTGCAACAATCGAGAGACTCGAGGAAAAGTTTTCAAAGGACGCGCCTGTTCGGAGCCAGGAGAAAAGTATGCAGCACGAAGCCGTTACCACTTTTGCGCGCAAGTTCTCGAGCAGTGGTGGTCTCGACCGGTGGGGTGCAAGAGTTTCGAGTATTGGAAACCTTAAAGCTTGAACTACGTTTTCTCGGCTTGATCAGCTGGGTGGCAGGAAGCAGCGCTCGAAAGAGCCCGGCCATTTGGGCTGGTATCAGTGCTTCTGTCTCTAAATAATAGCGATAGGCTACGCAGCGTGCAATGAGGGGTGGAGACAAAATTGATTTCGCAGGTTAGCCAATTCGCTAGGAGTCCGAATTAAGAGTCTGTGGGTGCTCAGGCTGTTGGCGAGACAGCCAGTTAAAGTGGAATGGCTTGCAGGGCTCCCTGCATCAGCGCGCGCGGGATCTTCATGCCTGGGTAAAGACTGTACAAGGCCGTTGTCTGTGTTCTTTGCTTAGTGAGGCAAATGGAATTGAGCGAGAGCTGGGATGGAGCGCAAAAGAAAGCCCTTCCCAAGAGGCCTCAATGAGATATGGGCACACACAAAATGCCAACTTGAGCCAAACACCCACCATTAGTGCGTTTACTGTTTATACTGGAGATCCGCTGCAATGGAGAGGTGATCTGAAGGGTAAAATTCGCATAGGAGGCCTCCATGCGCATCCACAGACTCAAACGACACTCCAGGGAGAGTCCCTACGACCTGCACCCAAAGCGCACACCTGAAGATCGTGAAGCATCATTACAAGAACCCCAGCGCGTCTGTTGAGCATTGAATTCAGTAGAGCCAACGCCAGATAAAGAGGGCGCTCAGAGCTCTTGTGTGCGGTATGTTGCGTCTAGCGTAGCACTGAGTTGTTCAAAATTTCGTAGAACCGGAGCTTTAAGTCCCATGCTTTTTTGGCGTGTAGGCTCTGGCGTTACGTGAAGCTCCTTGGAGACGAAAACGTGATCAAGTGCCGCTTGGAATCCACAGACAAAATTGGTAAAGGGGAGAGGCGTTGCGGCATAGCAGTCCTTTAGGTGTACAGACGGAGGCAGTTCCAACGACAGTCCTTCAACTGCTGCTGTCGCGTCTGCCGTTGCAGTGGCCTCCGAGTTTGCTGCTGCAGCCGTTTCGGAGTCAAGCACTTCCTCATCACAGTTCTGTTCATCCCAGCTGTACGTCGGCGCTGAGCGCAAAACACTGCAGGGCGTTGTTGCGGCTATGCGTACTCTTTTTGACACAGTTTTCAGCAGCAACAGCTGGAGGAGTCTGGGTACAGGTGTGCTTGGGGGTCAAGCAACAGAGACTTCCTTCTGATAGCCTCTGAGTTGGTGCGCCGATCTTCCTTCCACAAACGCCGACGGTTTGCGGTTCAGCGACGACTACTGCTGCTGCAGGGCATGGTGTAGAGTGTGACTTGCCATGCTCCCAGTCTTTGTCTGCATGCGAAATCTTGGTGTTTGTGAGCAGCCGATGCCCTCCGCTGTCCGCGTCGCAATTAAAATCTCCGCAGAGGACCAAAGAAGCCGATTGGAGGGGTGGTGCGGTGATCAACTCCGAGAGCAGCCTACACACTGCGTATACTTGGAGAATGCGCACGTGCTGCGTACATACAGCTCAAAAACCCCTCCACAGGCACACATATACCTATGCAGATGCAAACAAAGCTGGTGCTCTTGCTGCCGCTGTTGCCACAATGCCCCAAAGCTCAGGGGACAGGAAGGCGACTACAGCGCCACATCAGAAGAGCCGTACAAGTGCTAAAAAGCAAGAGCCGCAAAGGCAGCTACGCTCGCTGCAGCAGTAGCCAATAGAACACGATTACCTGAGGCAGCACCAGCAGGGAGTGCGCTGCCTCACGCTTGCTCGGGGGTGGAAGAAGAGATGGGTGTTGGCGATCAGAAGGGGAGGAACAGTTTCGTTCTTAATGTCTCGCAGAGCTGTCAACTGCAGCACAGTGCCCAGTTGGGGCATGAGCCGTTCCTACAAAACGAAACGCAAAAAAATACTTCGCCAAAGTACAGGAAATCTCCGCCCTTTCGCTCGCTTGAGGCCCCTCTCGCTCTCCCCGTCATGTGTCTTGTCCGCTGCCTCGAAAGCACGACGGAGACGGGCACTCCGCGGATTTTATTGTGCACACCCACACCCCATAGCCTCATGCCGCAAATGCCGTTTACAGCGCAAAGTTTGAAAGGACATTAATCTAAAACCATTGCAAAATCTGACGACCGATGCATGAGCAACATGCAGGCACACGCATTAACAGAGGGGAACAGATATGTATACATATATATATATATATACATAAACACACAGACACACACGTAGAGATGCAAACCAAAAACGTAGCTCACCAAGAGGTCTGGCCATTTACTGCTGAGCGAAGCCCGCAACTCTTTAAACATTGCGTGTTTCTGCAGCATACAAAGATCCAAACCGTTGATGCTAAACCGTCCATCTGCACCGTGCACTTTGAATGCAAGCACCCTGCATCCGCACTTCCCCGCAAGCAGTCGAGCAGAGCGATACGACGCGAGAGGGAAGTTTGGGAGGGGTCTCACAGCGAGTTGTTGAGAGATGGAGAGAGCCTGTGTCTGTAAGAGACTGAAGCGGCTCTTTCTGTAGAAGAGAGCACAGCCCTCCTGAACTCTGCGAGTTTTGTCCTTCAGTGAGAGAATTCCCGAGTAGCCGAAGTGTTGCAACAGGGGGCAGAGCAAGTCTGTGAAGCAGTCTACTGAACTGTGCGCATGCAAATCCACGAACAAACAGCAGCACCAGCGAGGAAGTCAAGAGGGCAGACACACAAGAACAAGGCGCGAGACAAACTGCCCGAGGACAGAGATCACTGCGTCATGTGTGAGAGACATACAGAAGATAGAGTGAAACAGAAAAGATAGAGACTGATATAAACAGAGATAGAGATACAGCGATGGAATATGTAGATATACATATATATATATAGATACCGAGACAGATATAGTAGATAGAGAGATATAAAAAGAGATAGGAGAAAGAGCAAGACATGAACCAAAGCGACCAACCATGGCTAAGCACAGAGAGAGACCTACGCAGGCAGATGAGTAAGGAAGCAATTCCATCGCAATAGCACACAAAAGCACGCGAAGCAGACGGCGAAGAGACAGTGTTGCCAACGCACCATTCTTGCAGACAGTAGATGTCGGCATCCAGCTGCAAGAGCTCCCGACCTAAGAGGGGAGCTCTGAAGACACGAACGTAGAAAGCCGCAGATCCTCTCTCTACAGCTCGCGGGAAACGCCTTTGCGACCTTTTCCTTACAAACACTCAACCAACCTACTCCTGACATTCATGAGACGACAGAGCAAAGCTCGCCAAATGCAGCGCCATCGAAGGCGACAGCCTTCAAGAGGATACTCGCAGCAGCAGCACAGTCTAAAAGGCGACGGCAACAAAAAAGCTCCACACACCGATGCACAAATCGTCTGAGGGGTGCAGGGCAACTGCAGTACATAGAGCTCTCCGCCTGCGGTGTCTGTGCATAACCCTCTGCCAGCAAATTGAATGACACGACTCGAAACGCTGCCTTCTCCTGTGAATTGCGCCGTTCATCCTCTTGCTGCTGTTGCTGCCGGAAGGCTTGCATGCGTTCGCGATGCCAATCGCCCTCAGGCATCGCCAGAACCTTCCCCAAAGAAGCCTTCTGACCGAACTGCGGGAGAGACGGCACGAGTGCTGCAGCCACAACCCAAAAAACAGCTGATAGGCGTGCCTAGCAGGGAAAGAACACCATACGGAAGAGGGAGCCTCACGAGACAGAAAAATGCGATATTTCTACCTCCTGCTGCCGAGTTCTAGCGTCAAGTACTTGCATTTTTGTAGACATCCCTCAGCGTGCAAGTATTGGGATGTGTGTGTGTGTGTTAGTGTTAGTGTGTGTTAATGTTGGTGTTAATGTTGGTTTTAATTGTAGTGTTAATTGTAGTGTTAATGTTGGTGTTAATGTTGGTGTTAGTGTGTGTGTGTGCTAATGTGTGTGTGTGCTAATGTGTGTGTGTGTTAATGTGTGTGTGTGTGTTAGTGTGTGTGTGTGTGCTAATGTGTGTGTGTGTTAATGTGTGTGTGTGTTAGTGTGTGTGTGTGTTAATGTGTGTGTGTTAGTGTGTGTGTGTGCTAATGTGTGTGTGTGTGTGAATATATATATACATACATATAGATAGATATACACATATATATATATATATGCATGCATGCTAATGCATGTAGGATGATGACAGCACCTTGATGTCGATCTGATACCTCCGGCGAGAGTCAGGGGAAAATTCGTCTGCGCTCAGTTCAGAAGTCTTCTCACCTTCGAGCTGCAGACTTCTGCCTACGTCGTCACGCCTCGGAATAAAGACCTGCACTCACAAAGCCGAAAGCTCTTCAGAGCATACTGCAGCAAGCAACGCACGCTGGCGGGGGTACGAAAACAGCGCGCAAACAACAGCAGCGACGGGAAGCCAGCGGTCTAGCCGAAGCACGTACTGGTCCATATCCGGCAGGCTCTGTTGCGTCTGCGTATTGCCTGCAGCACGCCATCAAGTGAAAAAGCCACAGAAAGATGCACAGCCTGCAAAAGCCACGGGAGGGAGGAGAGGGGGGCGATCAGCAGAGGCCAAAAAAGCCAACGAAGCAGGCGACAGGCACAGACGCACAGGGCGATCTACACAGAGAGATTCCACCGAGAAACAGACACGCACAAAGGGCAAAAAAGGGGGAGTGAAAGCAGCAGAGAGAAAAAAGATAGCCGACAAACGGGAGATATCATGACGTGTCCTCTGGAAGAAATCTGGCACTGTGCGCGAGCAGTGCAGTATACGCCGGGGGAAGAGAGAAGGGAGGCAAGACTGCAACTGCATCATCAACTAGAGGCTGCCGACCATCGAAGTTCAAAGGCATCAGGAGTAGCGCCGATCGTTTCCAAGACTGCCAGGACTGGACAGCTGTGCGCATATATAGCCACAACATCGGTGCCACCCGCATGCGCTGCAGAAAAAGCAAAAGCCTGATAGAGAGATGCGCATATACTGCCAAGCGCGAGAGGCCTCCTCGCTGTGAAGTGCGTAGATAGAAATATATATATATATATATGTATATGTATGTATAGCCGCTGCTCTAGTTTTGCCGCAGAAGCTGCGTTTGTTGCTGCTGCGGGCTGCTCTTGAAGATGGCGTTGCTCCAGGCTAACTAAGAACAGCCTTCAAGGTGCTACGGCGGAGATGCAGAAGGCGGTAGAGCGAGGCACAAGGGGGCAGAGCAGATGAGCAGATCGAGAAAAAAGACCACAAGCGCGAGAGAGGCACACGGCGCAGATTCACAGGGGAAGAAGATCCGAGGCGGCACAGAATACTCGACCACAAGCGAGGAACCCCCAAGGAGAATGCGCAAAAAAGGCGGCCTTACTCCGCGAAAAGTTTGTATCGCACCGATACACGCGTCACCAGAGGCGGATTCAGCACTGCGCTAAACCACAAAGGGCTGCATTCCAAGTCTGGCGCTGAGAACTTATTTTTTTCTGACTCCGCAGCATTTGCTGTCTTCGCACTGATTGCTGCCTTTGCAGCGGCAGACGCATGCTCAGGCTCGACGTAGATGAGGAGGGGGGCAGTCTTCAGAACCTCCAAGGCAGCTGCATTGTCACCTACTACCTCACCCGCAGCGCTGCAGCGACCACAAAGGCAGCAGCAGTACCAACAGCAGCAGCAGTACCAACAGCAGCAGCAACAAACGTTCTCAAGAGGGAGCAACGCCCCCCCTAGCAAAACTATAATGCCACAAAGCATGTAGGCATGCGCGACAGCACCTTGCAACAACCTGCCAACCGGAAGCGACACGATCCTTTAGAACAACAGGAGTACCACAAAAGCAGCTGCTACGGCAAAGTGAGAGCAACGCCGCTATATATATATATATGTGTATACGTATACGTATACACATACATACAGATATGTGTATATGTATACATATACAGATATATGCGCACTTGACAGCGAAGAATCTCGCGCTTGGCAGTTCGAGCTTGGCTGCAACTGTCCTGTGCTTTTTCTTCTTCGCAGTCGCACTTTTTTCGCGGGGTGAGGCGGTAGAGAGTGTGCATGAGCATGCCAGCTTCGCGAGCAGCATTCCCAGAGTCTCTGTAGCAGCAGCAGCAGCAGCCGCAGCCGCAGCACACCACCGACAGCAGCAGCATCAGATGCGTTAAGGCAGCACAGCAGCAGCAGGGAAGCATCTGCTCGAGAATTTTCTCGTGCAGACGGTGAGAGAGCTGCCTCCACAACGAATATAGGCAACTGCAGTATGCTGGCGAAGGCTGCTGCTGCTGCCGCTGGGAGCGGTGTTGCCTGCACTGCTTGCTTGCTTGCAAACTGACCGTCTGCAGGCCTGTTCAATGCAATCCGCCTGCCTCTCCAGAGGAGTTGCAGCTTCAAGCGCTCCGACTCTCCCTTGCTGCGGGGAGCAGCGACAGCAGGCTGTTCTATCTGACTGTCGAAGACAGCTGGATCTGAAGGCTTCACTGAAGCAGCATGGCAAGCAGAGACTGCAGCATTTGCTGCCTGGAAGGCCACCTCTCCCGTGAGGTTAATCAGCACGACACCGCCGAATTCTATGGGAAGCATTGCAGCAGGGGCGGAAGTCGCTGCTGAAGGAGACTGCAGCATCTCGCGTTTCGGGCTTGTTGAGGCAGCGCAAGCTGCAGAGGTAGCGGAGACGCGATGAAGGGCACGTCGAGGTGTGCATGCAGCTACGGCGAACAGCGTCTGCTGCTGCTGCTGCCAGCCGAAGCACCTGTTGCTGCGTAGCCACAGCCGAGGCTGCTGTCGCTGCTGCAAGAAGCTTAGGGTGGCAGCAGCTCGCGCCTCAGTATGTACGGATCGCTGCGGATGCTTTCGCGAGACACTGCCTTCAAGGAGATGGAGGAGGAAGGGGGATTGTAGCGGCTGTTGCGTGGTGATGCTGCTGATGCCCCAGCTCGCGACGACGCTGCTACAGCGCTTCGGAGTGAGAGAGGCGAAGGACGGTATGCGGCAGAACCTAGAAGGCGAGAACGAGGCAAGAGAATTCCTTCGAAGAAACAACCACGCAACCATGTACAGAGACCAGAAGCGCATGCTGATGCAGCCCGCCGCTGCCGCTCTCTTTGCGGCGACTGCCGTGAGGCTGCTTGAGCTGTGGATCGCGCTGCTGTGGAGTAGGAAGACGCAAGTTTTCTGCGCAGGTGCTGTGTATTCTACTGCTGCCGCCGCTACGGCAGCGCCTGTTGCGTCTGTTCTGTCCTCCAAGGGGGCCAAAAAGATCGACAGCACAAAGACGAAGACACAATAGCGCTTGTGAAACTCGAACTTGAACGCCTAATTCGTAGAAGCTCCCGCATGCGGCCAGCGGACGGGAGGGGCCCCTAAGGGCCTGCCCTCGCAAGCCGGTAAATAGGCGTTTAATAGTGGCCAGTCATGACATAGGCTCTAGAAATCTATTATTGAGTTTGTGCTGCGATTCTCGCCGTGTCTCCAAAGCCGTGTGTATTCAGGAATGCATTTGTTCTGCCCAGGCATTTCCGGAGGACGAAGGTTCCGAAGGCTTCAGGGCTGCTTGTGCCGATGCATGCAGCAGCCCGTGCCGCTGAAGCGTCTGTTGCATCTGAAACTCCAGAGCTACTCCTGTAAAAACGCATTCCTCGACACCCTCCTCCGTGCACAAAGCTCAAAATCCCGCTGTTGCATTCTTCTGACGCCTCGATCTGCAGGGTCGGACGCGAAGGCTCCCCTCATCAAGCACAAATGTAACCATGCGGCTTCAGTGAACACACGTGCGACCCTCCACAAGCCGTAGGGCTGCCTTTTTGCCTTCGAGACGTGTAGGGATGGCGGCTCTCTTGCGTGCCGCGTCGAGGCATGCTGGCAACAGTTGCTGTTGCAGCAGGGGTTCCTCCCTCCAGCCTAGCAGCAGCTGGCACTATCTGGCCGCGCTCAATGCGGCGACTACACTCCTGCACACCAGCAGTCCCCCCCCCGGACTGTCTGTACGCTTCGTACGTCATTGGGCTCGCAAGGCTGCCTTCGAGAAGCAGCGACGGCTCCCTAATAGGACCCTCAGAGCTGGCAGCTGTGCTGCCCCGCTTCCCACCTGTGACGGCAGCAGCAGCAACAGAAGCCTCCTACGCGGCGGCTCTGCTTCGTACCTAGGAGACTTCTGCCTTCGGCGCTCCGCGAACGGAGGCTTCTGCTTGACCCCCCCTTACCCCACCCCCAGCAATCCAACCCTGCAACAGCAGCAGCACCTGCAGCAGCCTCAGAGGGGAAAGCGACGGAAGCAGCAACAAATCTACAAGAATATTGAACATAAAGACGTTGTAGCCCTCCTCCCAAAGCCGTGGGGTTTGGAAGGACCTTGGGGTTTAGAGTCACACAGAATTGTTCATGGGGGCCCCCCCAGGGGCCCCAAAACTCCGCTCGCCGTCCCACGCCACGAAACACGAACCCCTTAACACCATGATTATACAAGCATGCGTTTGCGAGTCCACGTAGGCTCGTATACAGGCCGGCGTTGATCTGCACATCGATGCACCTCACCCCACGACTCCACACACACACACAGCCTCGAGCAGCCCCGTCCAAAACTGTGCGGGCGAAGGTTCATACTCTGCATTATAATGCTGACCACCGTATCTAAATGTATATGCATGGACATATGTCCATATACATTCACATTCATAAGAGCTGTACGCAACACATACTTGTCGGAGTGGGGGGTATTCAATGCATATGCGTCTCTACAAGTACAAGTATACATATACATACATCACTACGTAGGTCATCTATGTATGCGTTTCCACACGTAACGACGCGTCCAGCCGAGTGCATGGGTATGCCTTCTGTATCCATCAGACTTTTTGGCTGAAGTATTTCAGTTTGGGATTTCGCAGGGTTCGGGAAGGGCAGAGACAGAGTAGTATTCATTCAGGCGTCTATCATTAGGCAGTCCTCCTTTGTATCGTTTCGCCGCACATGCTTTGTCTGGCATAGCCCGAAGCACAGCCTTTAGCCCGTTCTGTGGCGGATAGATTGGCTGGATGCGTCTGCTTCCTCGAGACGTTTCACCTGACTCCCCTTCTGTCTGAAACTGTGGGGCTCAGGGGCCCGTGCGCTATGTAGGGTTTCTTTACCATTCACTACTGTCTGTCTGTGTGCCCTCTCCACTTCGCTCGCGCATCTATTGCTCTCTAGTGCTTGTTCTCCGCCCCCCTCCCTCTGCATCTGTGCGTCCTTGCTTCCCTGGTTGCGTCCTCTCATGCTCTGGGGTTCCTGTGCAATGCACTTACGTGTCACAATTTGCGGTTCAATAGTCTTTTTACGGGCAGCAGCAGCTGAGGCGCACATCTATGATGCGAAGCCTCCCAGTTCAGGAGGCCCCCTGTCAGTTCTTACCGCGATCGCAGGTTCAGCTGATCTCCTGCCACCTAGCCCATTGGCTGGCAAGACGGTCTTTCATTTGTCTGTCTGCTTAGCTTTGCCGTTGGAAGGCACCACCACGACTTTTAAGTCTTGGCTCTTAAGGCCCTTTGCTCTGTAAACCGCGAGGTCTTCTGCATCGGCCACTCGAGGAGGTGCAGCAGCAGCAGCGGCTCCTGAAGGAACGCGTCACGCAGAGTGATGGGGGCCCCTCACGCCTCAGAGAATTAGAGTGTGTCTAAAGCCGTGTGCGTTGAAGCCTAGCCCAGCCAGCTATGCGCTGTGAAGCGTTTCGAGGGGTGGGATTGCTCCTGCCTCCAGAAAGAGAGGCACTGGGTTCACCGTGCAAGCTGGGTAGCTTACCTGCGGCCACTTCGGCCTCTGCCCACAGTTCTTGCAGTTCCCTCTGCATGCGTCTCTCTTCAAGTTCCATCCATTGGGGCTTGATGTACGAAACAACGCAACCCCGAGCCCGCAGCTTCTCGAGAAAATGCACCGCTTCCAACCCGGGACGAGCCTGCGGTACAAACACAGAGATATACACCTTGAGAGAGGAGTCAACGACGCGGGCATGGGTTGCTAAGTAAGGGATAGCGTAGAGCTAGGAGGCCGAATGCAACGGCCAGAGCAGCCAGATTCAGCAAGTGGGGATTTTTTGGGGGGCAGCAACACGCCGTAATCCTGATTTTCCAATTTCAACCAGCACGAAATAAAAATTGAGAAACCCTTTTCGTACGGTCTTTGGGAGCACGTCGAATTTGTACGGCTTGATGTGGGCCCTGAGGTTGATGGGGTGTCTGTACACCACGCGCACTTCGCCACCCACTCTCCGCACCGCGTCAATGGCCGACTGGTCTGCTGACGCCACTTCTATGGAAATGCGGTAGGGGAAAGGGTAATCGTTCTGCAGGCGCACAGAGAAGCGCATCCGAAGGGGGGTGAAGACACAGCACGGAGAGATACACACAGCAGAGGGAGTGAGGGGGAGAAAGAGAGGAACACACAGTGAGGCAGACTGCTTGAAAAGAAGAGAGGGGGCGCACACGCAAGCATAATAACACAAAATAACCAAAAACAAATATTCTGTCGGGCCGAGCAAGGCATGCAGCACAGCCGACAGGGAGGCGGGGGGGAGTGACACAGAGCGAATGCGCATCGTCGGCAACAACAACGTAGCGGGAGAATGTATTCAGAAGCAACGAGAGCACTGCGGCTCAGCCGCACACTATGCAACAATTTTTCACTTATTTCGTTTTGCCAAGCTGGCCTCTGTAGGTAGGCCGTATGCGCTCCTGGCAAGAGCAGTGCCCTCGCCAGACTGCCATCGCCATCGCGTTCTTTTCGCTTAGCTGCACGTCTGGCTAGCTGGCTAGAACCTCGCTACTGAGTAGCTCCCGGCCGTCACTGGCACGCTAGCTAGCTAGCCAGCTAGCTAGCTATGGGGGCAGCTGGCTAACTATCTGGACACAGCCCGACGGCGAGAATACCCCGACTGGAAGACGTACAACGTTGAAGAGGTGAACTCCGTTGCGGACGCGAACGCAGCGTGAGTCGTGCAGATGGCGCTGTGTGATGGGGAATCTGTAGAAAAAGCGCAAGCCACAAGTCGCCTAGTATTAACTCTCGAAAGACACACGCATCCACGGGGAGAAGCAGCGCGTCAGAAGCGAACCCATGGCTGGCAGCAATGCGACAAAAACACACCTAGGGATTTTTCGCAAATGCAGCCCTCCATTTGCGCTGAAGGCATCTCTGTATGTTGCCTGCCCCCTCTCCCCCATACACCCCCTCATCCCCGCCTTCCCCTGAGAAGCGAGGCACACGTTGGCACGTGTGACGGCGGCCTGTGCTGCTGTGTGCATGCACACTTAATGAACGCATGCATGGAGACGTGCATATGCCTGAACGGCAGAGAGGGTCGCCTACCGCGCGTCAAGTCTCCCCTGCTCCAAGAATTGCCGGATCTTTGCCAAATTTAAGGGCTCCCAGCGCTTGCGCTGTCTGCAGATATATATACATATATATATACATATATACATATATATATACATATACACACACATACACACACATACACACACTTCCCCCTCACGCTTCCCGTCCTGATCGGCCTTACACCCGTGCCTCGATCGCGTGATTTTCTCTCGCGCTTCTGAGACGAGATCCCCCTAAGCCGGCAAGGCCCCTCCCCCACCAGAACCTCTCAGAGCACGCCCCCACGCAGCGCGACAGGCGACTGACTTGCCGTTGAGCCGGCTAAGACTTGGTGGCTGAGGCAAGCAACTGCGCTCTCTGTCGGAGGGAGGGCTGTTGCCGTGCTGGCGCATGCCACAAGCCTCGTTTAAGGCCAAGAGACAAACCTGCCAAGCCACGCTTCAGGCCACTTGGGGAGCCGCCTGTAGAGGGGAGTTTTACCCCCCTCGAAAGTCTTGCTGCGAGGCCCCTTGAACCGTCCTTGTTGGTCTCTCTTGAGCCGAATACCCTTCGCGCTGCTCTTGTCGCCTCGCCCTCGTCGGCGCTTCTTCTTCCGCAAGCCCTGAGCCACACGCGGCAGGCTGGTCAGTGGTCGTGCGCTGAAGGGGGGGTAGGAAGGACGGAGGCAGTGCGCTCTCGCCCACTGCCTAGCAGCTGCTACCTGCGCGCCTCCTGGAGGGCTCCGAATCTGCAGATGGGAAGGCGTGGAGGGGGCCGGTTGTTTGGCGTTGAAGGCGGCTTACTGGCTGCCTTAGGTTCCTAGGCTCTATAGGCAACAGCGGCTTGCGCTGAATAGCCGTCCTGCGACTGCGGGGTAAGGCCAGGGTGCGTGTGGCTTCCCCGTCGAGGGCTTCTCTCCACAGACTTCCTCCGCCGTGCGTGCCGCAGGAGATGATGACATCGCTGCTGCAGCTGCTGCTGCTGCTCTCGAAGAGAGCGCCTCTATCTACGAAGCGCAAGCGTCTCCTGCCGCCTCGGAGCGGGGCCGATGAGGCTTCCCCTTCCCCCCCCTTCGCGACGGAGGAGGAGGCTTCCTTGCCGAGCATCCTCCCAGCAGCTCCCGAGACGCCTCGGCCGGTCTGGAGAAAAAAGAGGAGCGCTAAGCCGCACTCAAGGGGGGCCCCCCAAGAAGGTTTGGGGGGGCCCCACACCGGGCTGCGACGGTACGTGCTTGTGCAGCCGTTGCTGCAGCGCCTCGCTGCTAAGGCGAACTCAGCGACGCACGCGGCGTCCCCTGCCAGTGATCCGCGTGCCTTTCCCAGCGTTCCAGCGGCCGCTGCTGCTGAGGGGCATGCAGCAGCAGCGGCAGCAGCAGCAGCAGCAGCAGCAGCAGCAGCGCCTCCTGCGGCAGCAGCCGCTGCTGCAGCTGCATTCTTGGAGGGTTGCAGCAGGAGCCCCCGCAGCATCAGCTGTGGCGAGGAGCTCGCGCCTTCTTCCACGGGAGCGCCGCCTCTTTTTCTCCTTGCAAAGGAAGCCAGGAAATCAGAGAATGCAACGAGGGGGATATGCCCCTCAGCACCGGTGTGCCACTCAGGCCCCTCCCCAAGCGGCCATGTGGGGTTATAAAAGCGGCAGGAGAAGGAGTTTCCCTCAGACAAGCACCCCCAGCGCCAAGCTACAGAAAGGTTCACAGTGCGATTTCCGTGGGGTCTGAATGGACGGGAAGTGGCCCTTTGGCGGGGGAACTCTTAAGGGCCCACCCATGCTGGGGGGCCCCTGGGGCGGGGTGGTGGCCCACCTCCTAGGGGGCCCCCTCCACCGGTGAGCCATTATTGCGCCTCAGTCTATCGGAGCGCACATATTAGTGCTAGGATTCCGTGGAATTCATGTGGAATCCTCTGGCGCAGCAGCTGTGATTGAGTCAGGAGCCGTGTTAGACACACTGCTGAGCGCAGTGCCTCAACTTGCGCAACTCGCGGCAACAAAGCGCTGCCCGATTTGCACACAGGCATCATGAAATGAGGCGGCAGGCATTAAAAGATAGGCCATACTCCATGGTGGGTTCGTTGTCGTAATGCATCGGATAGCGCAGTCGGGGGCTTGGCCCTCGCGCGTCCCTCTTTTGAAAGCATTAGCCTTGCAGGGAGGCCCCTGCGCCTACTCATGGCTGATGCTTGAGTGGCTCACCAAAGACACAGAACGGGTTCTGAAGAGACAAGCGGACTACACAGGCTTCGCGCCTTGCTGGACACACTGACAGGAGATCCCCGCAACAGGGTTTTCTACTACGGAGAAAGCCCTGAGGGTGTGTTTATGTGTGGATTCGATCGAGGACGAACAGCGAGGTGCTCAGATGCCTTTATATTTGATGAGCTTCAACAGAGACCCTGCATGTCTTCTTCTAAGATCTCCGTAGGGTGACACTTACCTCGGGACTCGATAAAAATCCGATAGAAAGTCGTAAAGTACTTCTCACAAGAACGCCAGGTTTCCCTTGCCAGCGCCTCTAAGAGCTCCCGATGTCAGAGCAGAGGGCCTGATAGGGAATGCTAATTTGCATCCTCTACGCACTCCGAGTATCGACAGCTAGTTACTAATAACATCTAGCACCAACACATGCAACGATGTGACTTGTTGTAGCGAGCCAACAGAACTCTGCAGTAAATACCATGTACGGAAATATGAACCGACAAATTGATTCTTACCAAAGTCTTTGATAAAAATACAGCTAATGTAGTAGAAAGTGATGAAATGTTTCCTAGCCTGCTACAAGTCCAGACGGGCCGGAAAACATGGAAGTGTCCGGAGTTCCTCACGGTGTAGCAAGGCTCCCTGAAGCATCGAACACCCCTGAGTCGTCATTAGGAGGCTAGAGGGAGAGGCTCCACGCAAAAGGATGAGCTTGACGGAAAATTAGGCCAGAAAAACAGTAGGGGCCTCATCTCCAGAAGCGTCCTCTCTGTTGTGCTCCCTGAGCCTTTTGTTGGGGACACTCAGCAGCCTCTGAGGACGGCAATTGGAAGTTCTGAAGGTGCGTACTACCGGCTAGCCTTCACTTTGACGCTGTGAAAGAGGTACACTAGTTATCTTATTTTAAGCTTGGTAGAGGATTGATTATTTGGCTTGAATGTTTGCACATGTTTTCCTTGATGGAGAGTAGAGCTAGTGAGCTCAATAAAGTAGGAAGTGACGGTGTTTACCAGCGCACTTTCAGCTATGTCGAGCTGTCTGTGAATGGTCCAGGTGTTTGAAAGGGTGCAGCAATGCCCAAGTACCCTAGCTGGCCCTTTTTTCCTCCCTCATGCCGGAACCCTATGTGGTAACTAAGCAGAGCGAAGGGGAGAGGACCCTGCTGGTTGGGAGGAAGCTCTTAAGCTTTTGATCAAGTGCTCATCGAGTGGGGAAGGAACGTATCTTGATAAGAACACCCTGGAAAGAAGAGGCGCTGCATACGAAGTCACCTGGGGGGCATATTTGTGGAGAACTACCGTTCCACGGACGGAGGAGGGGCGAAGCGAAGCGCGGTGCCTGCTGGTTTTTATCCTCAGGGGAGCCCTGCAGTACTCCATGAGGTGTGAACGGATAGCAAGTCTTCGATAGCGTAAAGGATGGAGGTAGGAAGCAAGCAAAAAGGTCCTCTGCGTTACTTGGCATCCACGATATAGCCATGGGGACTTGTACAAGGGAAGGAAGACGCAACAAACGGGAGAGGGCCCCACACTGACAGAGAAGAAATCCTTAGGATAGGCCTCTCTCCTATGCGCGAGCCTTATCTATGAGCAAGAACTTATGGAGCCGTAATCCCTACACCAGCGAACATCCTCTAGCATCGTGCACCCCTGGGATTGTGAGTGCTTGTGTGCTAGGCTCCTTTACTCTAAGAGCGCAGGGGGAGCTTCTCTCCAGCGTAGAAGCGCATGACTAGGTGGCCCTCTTTGGGGTGGATAGAGGCAACGAGGGTTGCTCGCGGGCGGCATCTCTTGAAGCAAAGAGATGAACCGTTGTCTATAGTGGGGTTGGGGGCGCAAGGATACGGAGGGACTATTTTCACCCTTTAATGCACTTTAAAAATAAGAAATAGGTGACACCTGCTCGAAAGACATTCATGAGGAGCGCTGACCACCGCCTCAATTGAGAGACGGGAACCCTACAGAGGTCCGGCGTAAGCAGGCACACGAGCCATACAATTGATGGCGTGCTCGTTTTTTGTCGGCCCTAATAAACGTGTATATCACTGAAATAGGCAAACAAAACAGAAGCAAATTTAGGACATGCTTTGCAGAGGGCTCTGCATTGCAAGTTTTTGGCGGCAGAACATGGGTGCTTGCGCTTCCGCAAGACTCACCATCAGGCATCCACCGCGCGTGTGAATGGAAGATAGAGATCCATTTCCCAAAGGCCTCTGGGAGCGTTTCTACCAAAGTAGAAAAGGGATTTGTACCCGCTGGAGCGCTTTTAGCCTTTTCCGTGCCTTGTCGGCGTAGGTTGCATCGGTGCTGTCTTCCCCCGCCAGCGAGACCAGTGGAAACCTTCCCGCCACTTGACCGCCCCTGTGTGTGCCTTCCTCAGCCTACAGGCCGCAGCCCCATTCTTCGAATTATATATTCGAGTTTGGCTGCCTGAGCGTTGGCCAGGCGCCTCTGCAGTCTCGAAGGCCTCGCCTCTGGACGGAGAGCTACGCGCTTGCTTCTCAACGCACTGCACCAAACAGTCCCAGGCGGGCGCCTCCGGGCAAAACACAAGCAAATTAGACAGAGAGAGCAAGAAGCAAAGGGGAACACAAGGAATCTGCAGGCGGGAGAGGTACAGACAAGCTTGGTAGGGGAATGCAGTGAGGACTGGAACGAGGGCAGGGGCTTGTTGGGATTTCAGGGCTCATACCACGGGGTGGCAACAAGAGGGTGCCTATTTATCCCTTATGATGAGCAGAATCAATCTAAGCCTTTTTTCTTTGCCTGCTGTATCGGCCTCTGTTCCCGTGTCTCCCTCCTGTTTCTTGCTCCCACACAGGGGTGGTGTCTCCCCTGATTCTGCACCCTCTTCTCTCGAAAGAATCTGTGCGCCTCTGTCTTCAAAAACAGCTGCATCTCTTGACCAATCCAAAGAGTACCCGGAGGCTCAAGCACGCCTTGCGCTCGCGCCAGGTTCATCAGCGTGTGTCCCCAAAACCTCAAGAGTAAGGACAGAGACAGACGCGCGAATGGGGGCGTGCGACACAGGACCAGAGACGCCAACAAGGCGCACAAATTACAGAAGAAAGGAAGAAAGCGCAAGCCGAGAACCCTGCGAGGCAGAAGAAGAGGCCATGCTGCTTGCCGCTTCTCTGCTCTCGCGGGCTGCCCATCGTCTTGAGGTGTTTGGGGCCGAAAAGCAACGCTTCCTTGCGGAGAAGGAGGCGAAAATTCGGAGACAGAGAGAGGCTGCCGAGCGGCGGGAACTTTTTCAGGTGTCTGTCCACACGGCGGCCTCCACGCGCGGCTGCGGAGAGGGAGGCGGACACGGAGATACAGGCGTTGGGGAGCAAGCTGCCACGTGGGAGGCATGGCGAAGGCCCCTTGAAGGCGACAGCTTTCTGGATTGCAGCGAGAATGTAGGAGATAACGATCGCATAGCCGCCGAACCACCAAGGAGCAAGGGGGTCACTTCCTTGCCCGTGCAAGCCTCGAGGCGAAGCACAGTTTCGCCTCCTCCTCGTTGCCTGATTCCTCAGAAAGACGCCTCTGGCCCCTCCTCAAGAAAAAGCCGGAGGCGCTCTGTTCGGTTCAGGGAGGCTGAAGCAGAGAACACGGGGGGACCGCAGGAGGAGCAGGCAGAAGTGCCTGAGCAGAAGACATTCGCAATGCAGTTGCACCACCTCCAGCGCCAGCACTTGAAAAAACTTCACAGGCAGCGCCTCCTGGCCCAGAAGCGGCAGGAAGAAGAGGCCCGAGCTTGTCTTCCTTCAGGAGATACCGTCTACCCTTCCTCTGGTGATCGAGGAAGTGAGACAGCTACTGGCGAAGTAAGCAGGGATGCTAGCGGCAGCAGCAGCGGCCGGTGCTTTACGCGCCACAGTATCCGCCGCAAGACAGCGGCTCTGTTCAAGGAGGGAGTCAGGCAGGGAGTTTTTGTTGGTGCCACTGCTGCGGCGTTGCGGGAACAAATAGGATCCGTGCTGTACGAAAGCCCCAGCAGCAGCGCGAGGGCAGCGGCTGAGGCCAGGGAGTGCACGTTTCGCCCCCGAATAAACCAGACGCACAAGCCGAGCAGAGTAGACAAAATTCCATGGTGGGAAAGGTTGCACGCGGAAGCTCGAAGAATCCTTAAAGAAGAAGCAGCAAGGAACGATCCAGCACGAAAAGAGACAGAGGTAGAGGGGCGGTGCAAGCCACTCCATCCCGACCACCTGTCGTTGCTTCTCGGGGTACCACAGACGTCATTACTTGCCCGGCTCACGCAGAGTTGCGTTGGAGAGAACGCAGGGGTCGTGGGCATCAGAGGCACTGGCGAGATGGTGGGATTTGCCACTGCCGTCCAACGCACCGGCACTTGCAACAGAAGCAACACTGGCATAAGCAAGAACAGCAGCCATAGCACTAGCCGGCAGATGAAGAGGCCCGTAGGGAAGTTTGCTGCCTCCTCTTTCTCCGTATATGAGAACAGCCTCAGGAGTCGCACTGCCGACGACAACAGATGCCGTGTCGGGCAGTTCGCTCCTGCCGATGGCCGCGCCCTCCTGATGAGGTACTTGGGGGCTGAAAAGCATTGGCTAAATTGAGGCAGAAGAGAGTACTACGCCACACACAATGCACCGATAAGTGCTCAGCAGGTTCTCGTGCCAACGAAAATAATTGAAGAGAAAACGAACGGGGCTGGGAGGGGAGGCACGCAGAAGGGCGCTTGGTCGAAAGCCAAGGAGCGGAAAAATATCATTAGAGGCCAAGGGAGGGGTTAGAGGAACAGAGATTTGCTTTCTGCTTGTGAAGTCGGTACAGCTCAAAGGGTATGGACAGAGAGCGAGACACTAACTATTTGTGTCGTTACAATGTACTCCACCATCGAGAGGATTTTTTTTAGAAAGCGATCTTGAGTGCCTTTTAACGCCAGGAGAAAGCAAAGCGTTGTAACTTTGTGGCTGGACATGACGGCCTTTGGCCTAATAATTTGTGTCTGCGACACGGGTGCCGGCGAGCGAGAGGAGTGCTGTCTTTAAGAGCGCCGTTGAAAGGAGTATAATATGCCTCTCAAGCGGGGACTGCAGGGCCTTAGGCGCCTTTAAGGCTGGTAGCAGTGCCTCTCCTGCTGCTGCTTGGCAATTGAGGAAGAGCTATGGCGCCTTTAGGTCCCTAGAGTGTATGCATGGGGATTTGCTGCTCAAGCCTGCTGCCTATTAGAGAAAGTGAGGGAAATAGGGTTCTGGAATTTCTGGGTACGTCTTCGTTTCATCCACAAGGTGCATATGGCTGTGCGCCAAAGAGACCCCCAAAACAGTGATACCCGCAGGTGGTAAAGCGCACATCTGAAGCGGCATCGCTTGTAGTCCTACGCCGCGTTTATATTCGGTGTGGAAGTTTGTCCATCTGTCGCAGACCCCAACGGCTTCATAGAGATCTGTAGCGTAGGGCTCACGTTATGGCAGCACTAAAGGTACCTGGACACATACAGCTTCAGATCGCCTCAAGCATACAAGCGGTTCCGGCACACACGCATCCACAACATGCTGTTTTACGCCTTGCAACGGACCCCCCCACTCGTATACGCGTGTGCGGAGGGTCGAAGGTATTTGCGTAAGATAATGATTGTATTCGTGAATCAGCAATTCTATTTCTACGGGCATGCTGGCTCTTCCCGGCGGAACTCGGTACGATAAGCAGCGAGCAAACAGAATTGTGTGACCGATCGCTTCTGGGCCGTTCTCATAAGAAGCTCCAGCCAAGCCAAACGCAAACGCTGAGCGCCATAAACAAGCTTCTCTAATTCTGTGCCTACGCGTTGGCTGAAACAACCCCACCCCAGTAACACACATTGGCCAAGCCCCAGAGTCACGAGACAGTGTGTGTATCGTGGAGGGCTAGTCAGCGTATCTTTCTCCTGTCCCCCTCCCATTTCTCTTTAGCTCGCGTCTGCTCATGAGAAAGGCTCACCTGATTCTTGCTGAATTCCCAGAACGCGAGATATCCGGGCAGTCCCCTCTACTCGACTCCGCAGGCGTGCCTTCCTTGCTTCGTCCTCTTACCTGCCAGTTCTCTCTCTCTCAACCCTTTTCTCTACCATCTTCAGGACCGCCTTGAAGCTCCAAGGGGTCTCGTGGCAGAGCAGTGTACGTAGGCAGACATCGAGTCAACGGGGAAGAAGGCGAGCTTTCGCACTCTATGGCGTTCCGTCCTTTGATCTTCTTTTGTTTTAGACCATTTCTTTGCGGAATAGCGCCGATAAGCGCAACTCTGTGTGCGAGCTAAAACTCCGTTTAAGAGCCGAATCGTACATGATGCACTCCCTGCGCGTACGCGCCCCATGAACCATCTCCTTATGATTTCTTACCTCCGTACTTCACCCCCCCGCCTTCCCCTCCCTCCACGTCTCCCTGTCAATCCCATGCTCCTCATGTATTCGTACTACCGTTGCGTTTACCCTGAAATGCAGAAAGAGGCTTTCGAAGGCCCTGCAAAAGCAACGCCTCTTTCGCTGCCCTGTCTGTACAGCAGCAGCGATCGCTGCTGCTCTCCCTTTGCTCCTGTTACAACTCCGTCTCGCTCATTCGCATAAGCGCCGTTCTGGATACGTCCACACTGCATGTGCGAGTATCTCCCTCCTCCTAGTAACCCTCCGTCCACTCGCCGCTAGCCGCAGCCTCTCCCTCTGCTCCTTCCCCGTCCGCTGCCTCACCGCATCGGCCTCTTTTTTTCCGCCTCTGCGCCCATTATCGAGTCTCCTACTGACCTTCTCCATGCCTCCTCCATGCACCTCTCTGTTGATCGAATCGCGTCTCTAGCCATGGAGTGCTCAGAACCCCTTCCGTGCCCCTCCGGCTCGCTGCAGCAGCAAATGCAGCAGCTGCTGCTATTCAGTCTGGCTCGCGAGGCTGCGACAGTTGCACTGCAGCGGCGGCAGCTGCGGGTGCAGCAGCAGCAGCTGCTTCTGCACCAGCTAGGAGAGCGCTTGCTGCTGCAGCAAGAAGAGGCGAGCCAACAAGCCATAGCCCTCGCCGCTCAAGAAGAGAAACATGCGGCCCTCCTCAACAAACTAAATGCCATAAGACGAGATCTGCAGCTCGCATATCTGTTGCGAAGCGCCGCTTCAGCCGAAGAGAAAACGGCGTAAGTACACTCCATCAGAAGCGGCACCGCTACAACCCCAAGCCCGTCTAAATGACGGGGAGGGTGGTGGGGAGCTCACATGAGTGAGAAGACGGGAATTTCTCTCTCAGAAATACACCGCAACAACGCGGCATGTGTCTGTGCTACACGTGTTGCCGCTCCGAGTGCGCCGCCTAGAGACTGCCCTTTTGTACGTGTGCAAGTCTCATGGAATCAAGGTCGTTGTGTGCAACGTACTTTTGCGTCTTTGTGATTTTACATGCTGCCTTTTCGTCTGTTGCAGGCTCCCCGACTCGCTTTCCTCGCCGGGGAGCTTGTATTCTGCATCCCCTGCCGTGAAGGCACCAATCGAGAAGCGCAGCCACGCAGCGCGACGAGACCGCTTAGGCAACCTGAAAGACGTCTTGCAGCAGCAACAACAGGTAGCCCTTCGACGTTCAAGTCTGACGTATTTTTTACTTGGGCTGGCTTGCTGTGCATCCTGCTAGGGATTGAGGAGCAGAAGGCGGGGGGAAGGGGAAGGAAGGGAGCATCCTGCAGTGCCCATTGCAGCCATCATTGGTTCCCCAATACGCTTCTCGTCGAATAAGACAGCCCCTCCAGTCCGCACGTGCTGCCCTCAAATGCTCCTGCTGGCTTCTACTCTGTGTGGGCTGGCTCCTGTGCGCGTGCGATGCGACCTTGCAGCTACTGAGTGCCTCTGTTTCTGCACTGTCTGCGAGTCACCTGGAGGCGGAGCTGCTGCGCAGGGAGATTTCCCTCTTTGGCGTTCTCCCCCCGGATCCAAGCGCGAGGGGGTTTGCCGTTGCGGCAACACGAACTGGAGAGGGAGACGATGGCAGCTGTACAGCGGAGGGTGTGCCTATTCTTGCTCCTGCCGAGGAAATGTCAGGGATTCTGCCTCCAGAGTCCGATCTGCTGGCTTTGGAAGAACGCCTCTTCGCGCTAGAAGCCGAAGTCGATGCCAGCCTCAAGGAGCTGCCAGCCCTTGAGCAAATGCAGCAGCACATCCTTCACCAAGCAGTGGGTGTGACTCTTGCAGACAGAGAGCCCACGGCTAAGGCACCCGGTGACAGTCCACGCTCGCAGCAGCCACTGCAGCAGCACGAGCAACAACTTCCGCGGCAGCGAGAGACTGAGGAGCTAGTAGAACGGCGAGCACGGCCAAAGCTGGAGTCTCAGCTTCAGCAGACGCAAAGGGAGCTGTGGACGGGTGGGGATGCTAAGGAGGAGCAGAAGGAGGAGGGGGAGGAGGAGCCGTCGTCGTCACTGCCGCAGCAGCAGCAGCGTCCTGATGACAAGCGCTTCCAGAAGTTCTCTCAGGAGGAAGAGCACGCGCAGCAACGGGAAGAACTGCAGCTTCGGCGTGAGCATAAGCCTGAGCATAAGCCTGAGCATAAGCAGCGCACAGCCGTGGATGCCTTAGACGGGCCTGCCAAGGAAACTACCCTGCATGCCAGAAGTAAAGGTGAGAGCTTCCCCTTGGACGTGGAGGATGCCTGCTATGAGGGGCGAGCTGTGCGTGGCGGCTCGCGGATACGCCCTTCGATGGAGGAAAGAGCCTCGTTGCCGCCTCTCGTAAACGCCCTCAGAGAAAGGCCGATAGCTTGTGGAGCTTCTAGGTTTCGGCGTCTTGTAGATTCCACACCGTTGCTGTTGCTGCGCACGAGGCGCATGCAGCAGCGCCTCACGAGGCTGAGGCAGCAGGGGCACCGAAAGATGCAGCAGCTGCAAGAGCACCCTGGGAGGCAGTCTCTGTCTTCTGGCGAGGCTGGGGCATGGAAGGGAGGTTGCGGCGTAGACTTCTGCCTCTGTGAAGAGGAGCCTGCAGACAGGGTAGGCCTCTGTACCCCAAAAGCATCGGCTCGAGGTGGGGAGTTGCACTGGTATGCAAAGGAGCAGCTCCCAACGAGCTACGGCTCAGAGAGAGGTGCAGAGACTCCTGGAAAAAATGACGACAAGAGCCCCCTTCCGGCCAGCAGCAAGGCAGCTGCGCCTTCAGGCCTCCTGCGCACGCCTCCGCCTCCCGTGAAAGGGGTTTCTCCGCTGGATGCCTCCCATATGAGGCAGAGGGGCAGAAGAGGCAGCCTCCCAACAGCGTCTAGTTGGGGGTCGACTGAGGGGCGGCCCCAAGAGCAACAGCAGCAGGAGCACAAGTGCCTTGTAAGCGCCTCAGGAGCCCTCTTCGGCACCGATCCAGTGAGCGGCGATGTTGCGGGTGAACAAGTGGCGGATGTGTGTCTTTCTGTATTATGCCCTTCATTCTCCCCTCCGAAAGAGCTCAAGGCGGCAGTCCCGCTCCCTCAAGAAGCGGGATGCTGTCTGCCTGCAGGAGGAAAGAGGGCCGTAAAGGACACAGAAACTGAGGGGGTCGATCACGCAGGGGCTATGGCGTCCTCCCTATGCGCGCCAACGCAGTTTGAAGGATGCGCCAGTTCTGAGGACTGTTTCTCGGCTGCCCTGACGAGACTAGCGAAGGACGGCAGCGTTCAGCAAGGAGCATTTGAAGACGCTGAAAGAAACGCTTCCTGGGCGCTGCGAGGATGCCCCTTCGCCGCAGAGGGCCTGAGGCCTTCTGCGGAGAAGCATGGCGTGGCGAGGCAGACACCGGAAACAACGCAAGGTCAACATCAAGGAGTCAAGCACCAAGTGTTTCCCCTGGGTCGGTCCTTCGGGGTGGACGAGGACGCCACTGGCAGCAGCGACAGCAGCAGCGACAGATCCCCCTTGTTGCTTTCCCCTTAGAAAATGGCTGCGTGTTTATCGAAGATGGTTTGAACGACTGCTGCAGAATTCACTGTTTCCGTCTCTCCCTAGGCTAGGGTGCTGCTTGTTTAGTGTGACAGAGGGCCCCTAGTCTTTGTCTTCCCGCGACTGCGCTAAGCAAACACCTGCTGCTGACACTACTGTCCCTCCCAGTCAAGCACGACGCAGATTAGCTCGCTGGGGAAGCAGGAGGAGATGCTCCCCACGTGGCCTGTCTAGCGACGAGCAACGCTGCCCCCTACCGGGGAGCCCCCATCTTTATCGGGCGCTCGCCGCTCCTCTCTGCTTGCTCTTGGCAGCTGGCAGTCCTTTTGGTCGCAGTTGCGCATTTTTCATGCCCTCTCTAGCAGCTCATCAAGTACTCGGTGGGATAATCAGGGGCGCCTAGTCCACGCGTTCCCCACCCCTGCACACTACTTCCCCCACCACTATGCGGAGTAAGGGCCTTCCTGGTCCCTGCGTCCTAGCCACCACCCTACGACCAAACGAATCGCAAATTCAAGCCCCCGGGCAACAATGGAGGAAAAGGAATATAGTTTCTATTGCTACAGCTAAGCGAACCCCGCCTGCGCAGCAATCACACCTCTGCCCCTCCCTCCTTGCACAGAAATGCTCGCGCCCTGCATGGCCGCACGCGAGATACATGCATGCGTACTGCATGACGGAACCGGCACAGAGCGGGGCGCAGAACAAAATTCTTCTGTAGTTGCAACCGGAGAGCAAACACGGGAGGAGGTGAATGTCCTGTGTGAATGCACCAGCGGGGCCAACTCGGGGGGGAAACAAACGGAGATCCTACTACTACAATGGCCCACAACGCAGCACTAAGGCATAATCCGTAGGGCACAAAAATAAGCGAACCGATCCAACAGTGAAGCGCGAAAGCCCCCTCTGAAATCGGGCTTCCCTAGGAGAACTGCGCCACCCGTAGGTCAAAGGGCCCCATCATGGGCAGCAATACACGAACAAAAGAATCTTTCCATACTGCTGGCAGCTTTTGCAAGACACTAGGTCACCGATAGAGCGCGACTGCGCGCTGCAACTCGAGACCCCACTATTCCAGTGTATAGCTTCCAATGTAAAGAAGAAGGAATCTTTTCCTGTCTATACTTGTGCAGTTACCGAAGAAGCTGCAGGGTCTCCTACGTGGAAAATGAACGTCCACTGAGGGATCCCCTAGTAGGCCATTCTTCGGTATTAAATAAAGCCTCATTTCGCGCCGCATGAAAGTCAAAAGCACCCCGCCTGAGGGGTCACAGGATCTTCATTGACGACTTAGAGAGCGCCTCCTCCTCCCTCAGGAACCGTAATCCTCGTCCCCGCTTCCGCCCTCCCTTTTACCGTGAGAAAGACCGGAGAAACAGGAAATTCCCCCTCTCGACTCGTGTTTGCGATCTACAAAGACCTCCCTGAAGGCTCTGTCTTTCTCGAAAGCTGGCGCAAACGAGCAACGCCTCTCGTGCACGAAGGTTCCCGTTGAAGATTCGCCTTGAATATAGGGACCAGCGCAGCCCGCGATAAGGAACAGCGCCTTTGGCCTGTTGACTGAGCTTCTTCAGTCATACAGAGACGGTCGATGCTGGCTCCGCAGACTCTGCCAGCGTTTTCTGCTCCATTATTTTGTTTTTGCTCCGCGCCTCCCTCGAGCTAAAGCGCCAGAGCACGAAGATGAGTGCATAGACAATGAGGCCCACGGCCACCATGATACCATCCACAACCACAAAGTTGTTGGGGGGGTCGTACTCCAATACCTTCTTGTACCAGAGGATGCTCAGCAGCACGAATATACCTCCCGTGGCGGAGGTTAGCCCTGTGAGCTTGCCGAACGCATGCTCCGGGAAGTGAATAGAGATAAAGCAGTAGACGTTGCTCAGCACGAAGGAAGTGTAGATGAAGAAAAAGAAAATCGAGATGCCCTTGCAGGCCAAACTGTCAAACATGAGGAAGATAAACATAAACACGCCAGATGTGTTGAGCATGAATAACACCAGCACGATGCCATAGGCGTCCGCAATGCGGCCAAACACCGGCCCAGGGATGAAACTGAGAATGTTGAAGATGGCGAACATCTGGTAGAGGTCCTTGTCATTCGAGTCCACCAACTGCTCCTTGTTTGACTTTGCGTAGTAATCGGACCGCACCAGGGCGCAGCAGAAGATCGGCAGCAGCAGCAAAAACTTTGGATCTGAAATCAATTGCCAAAATGTTCGGTTGTCTTGAGATCTGGTGGGAACGGCGACGGTGGACTGCGAATCCTTGTCCTTCCCTTCCTGCTCGACCTCGTTCTCCACTGGGAAGGTGAAGGAAGCCATTGGGACGAAGAGGAGGCACACGAAGAGCGCAATTCCCTGTCCTACCGCAATATAGCCGACGCACATCTTCCACAGATCGCCAGGGGCGAAAGATGCGCCTTGAAATATGACCGACATCACCACGGGCACAGCAAAGGAGATGGAACGCAGCGAGCCCATAATTGAAATGACAAACGACGAATTCTGGGGGAACAGCTTGCTGATGGAGAGAAGGGGCAAATAACCGGGGTCAGCAGACACGCCAATGCAGAAAGCTGCGGCGTAATACGCCCTGAAGTGTTCTCCCGAAAACCCCAACAAGAACCAGCCAATAATGTCCATGCATATGCCAATAAAAAGCGTAATCTTAGGCCCCAGAGTGTCTAGAGCAATCCCCGCCAGGAAGGACGATAACATGTTCGAACCCAAGGCGAGGGTAAAGATGCCCCCCAACATTTGTTTCCTTTCAGGGCAGTCTATGTATCTCTGCCCTCCAATGCGCAGCTCTGTCACCTGAGAGGGGTCGGTACACTCCCAAACGTACGCTCCTGACTTGTATAACATCTCCTGGATGCCGTTCCACCCCCAGTACGTGCATCCTCTTAGCAATACCACCACCAGGTACAGGAAAAGCAACACGTACCTGTTTAGCGGAAAGTGCAATTTCATGGCCTTCACGCCACTCGAGGCACCATCCTTTGCCGTCATTTTCACCAAAATCGCTTACACTCGCGATGAATCACCCCAGCCCACACTGCAAACCACGCAGCAAGTTGACGCGGCACCAAGGATACACCCCACGTTCACAGTCACACGAGCGCTTCTTTTGCGGAACGCCAAGACTTCGCCAATCGTCGCCCTCAAATTGCCAGTTTCAGCAAATAAGCTCTCAAAATACGGAGAGAAGAAGGCAGCTAGTAGACCACGGGTTTACGCACAGTCGCGCATATGTCTCTTCTCCCCAGAGCAGGAAGCCTGTGGGGAAGGACCACAGGAAGAAACAGAGTTCAGAGTCGTACTGTTACTGTTTCCCTGTGTGACAATGCATCCCAAAAGATGAATTATTGTATATTAAAGCCAACCAAGATGCGAAAAGCAGTATTGAAAAAGGCGGGGAGACGGATGCCCCGGGAAGTGTCCCCTCAGGCCCCGTTGTTGCCGCACGCACCCGTAAGCAACTACCACCAAGGAGCGTTGTGGAGAGCCAGATTCGGAAAATATGTATACTCTTATAAAAGCTTGGTGTTCCTGCGATAATTCGATTCCATCAAGGTATCTATGTTACACTCGAGTGCAATCAGTACTTACCCACCAACGTGCGCCCACAGAAGCCTGTTTCATGTCTACAAGCTTAAATGGCCCTAAGAGCTGGAAGCGGAGTCCGCCAACACCAGTTTGAAAGCATTAGCAATCCTGATTCTACAGCCCCACCGCATATCCAGCCGTTACGCCGAGCTGGAAAGGTGGCTTACGAGGTATGTCTTTTGCGGGCTTGATGGTAGCGGCCAAAGCAACATTTGGGGTGTTTTTGATGCATTGAGTAAGTGGTGATATGAGTTTTTAAATACGGAGATCATGATGTGGCCATCTGTAGATTGTCTCTGGTCTATTGTCAGATTGTTCGCATGATGCAAGAATAATGGCTGTGCAACTGGATGCTTTATCATGCCATACAACTGCATTGGAACGTTTCGTGCTAAAGGGCTTCACCAGCTATCATTCAAGTGCCCACCTAACCCTTCAGTGTCGAACTGCGAATCTCGAGACCCATAAAAGGGACGCCTTTTAGAAGTGGCACATCACATCTGTCTCGCGCTGAGCTGCAGTTACAGATATTCTGCTACACTAGTTATATTCAAACAAGGGGTAGCCAATTGACAAAATGTATTGCCTGCTCGTACGCTTATTTGCGGCAGAATGCTGTTTGCTTGGTACGAGAAAATGCAATGCTGTGCAAATGCGCGTTAAATGCGAAGTGTACCTGGATGTGCATTATCACAGTTCCTGGAGGATGCAGCTGCACGGACCCTAGATGTCCCTCTCTCTCCTAAAGTGTAAAACACTAAGGGGCACTTGTAGGGGGAAGGAAGGAGCTTTCTTGAAGGGAAACTTACTTGTTATTGCATTTGCATCGATTCAGGAGTTCACTGTTCCACTGACTAGACTTTAAATGAGGCGTGACAGCTGTTCCATGGTTAGTGATCAATAGAGCTACTATAAAGTATAATATATCATTCGAGGTCCAATTATCGGAGCACTGAACTCTTTACTGAATACAAAGCTTCATAGCAAGCTATCAAGTGTTCTTACAAAAGAGCACTTTCCTTCCCATGCAAGCGCCTCTCAATATTGCCGATATCAGAAAAGAGAGACAGCCAGGGTATGCAGAGCTGCACCCTCTAACCACTTCGATCATTCATAGCTAGTTGCATATAGCATCTCACGCAATGCTCACAACACTGGTCTTCTGTATCGGTTGAACAGCAGCCTGCAATAAGTAAGGCATGCAAATAGGCAAGTTGACTAGTCAAAGTTTGACAAATTCTTAGTTAGATATAACTAGTGACGAACACAGTTTTAAGCTTCATCTAAGCCACCCACATCTTCTCCCTTGTTGAAAACACATCCCCTATTTTCCGCACCTGTACGCTGAGAACCATTTCACTAGGAGTGCGGTAGAGTTCCCGCTCTATCGCCACTGTCAATGCGGGCACAAAGGAGGAAATGGATCAAATCAAAATGCAAATGAGTGCGTCAGCCGCTGAAATAAAATATACGGAAACAAAGGCACGTCTTAACCACAACGAAAAAGGGACCAAACCAACACGACCGGGGTAGCGCTCTGCCTCGCTGTCGTCAAGCCTTTCAAATTGCGAGAATCCTGCTGGGAAAAATCAAAAACCAAGTATAGTGTGTTTGAAAGTGGATAAAATAATTGTTCGAGCAGTTATTTAGCGCCCCAAAGCAATTTTTGCGTGGAAATACAGCAGGTGCATGCAGCATGGACGAGTTCACGCAATGAAGAAGAATGTTTAGACACCAGCAATGACAGTGCCAGCAAATAAATGTGATTGTACTGAACAACTTAGCAATAATCAAACCTTCAAAGCACTACCCACAGATAAAGGCAGGTCTTTCATGCAGAGCATGCATTGGGGTAGAATAATTACTAGGGACGTGAGGTAGAGCATCCAATGGCGACTTGCTTTATCATCCAAACAATACCACGAATTCTCCCGCAAGCAAGGATTTCCTCAACTGATCCTCCGTCAATCACTCAGGTTGGAATGTTTTACTCTGGTTCACTAGATTATCCAGTCAAATGCATCGTAGGACAAAATCCCGAACTTTGACAACTTCCTGGGGATCGTCCGCCTCCACAAGGGTTCCTTTACCTACGCGGGAAAGTTCGCCGAAAATACGCGGAGTTTTGCATCCTTCATAAAAAGTCAGTACTAATAGTTTTCTAGCATCTCCAATACTTGGCGAATCGAATGAAACAGCACTGATTTGCAAAACAATCGCAAAAAAGAATCCCAGTCACCTAGCCGAGGACTTTTCTGTCTGTTCACCGTTTACTGAAGCTTACCAATCCTCCCGAACACCACGACATGATCTTCAAGCTCGAAATACACAATCGACCATCGCTCATTATATTTCCGTTCTCACCTCAACTAACTTTTGGACAAAGATTCGCATGCACTAGCCCTGTTGTCGAATTCCCTCCGCCGCCAAGGGTGGCTGCTGACCACGGGTTTCTAGGTCTATGCACGGATCAGAGAGTGGCTCCTCAGTGGAGATCTTGGGAGAGCAGTGATCGACAAGTATATACATTTGCTGAAGTGTGCCCTATCCGGGAAAAGGGAGAAACACAAGCCAAGCATTTGAAATTGTGTCAGAATAAAGTTTCGAATACCCCAGAGTGTGCCTGGTCCGCTCTGTGTGTCTATCTGAATCGGGGTGGCTTGAAGTGATCGCGTTGTGGTCCATACATAGGCGGGAGAAAAAGGCTTGCCAGAACGCAATAACGGACTTCGGATCCCTTCCGCATTCGTAATGATACTCTTGGGGAATCCTTGAAGCTTCTAGACGTGAACAACGAACAGTTGCGTGTGCCATGACAGCTGGAGCAAGACATGCAATAGGCGTACTTGCTGGGCTGTCGACAAAGACGTAGATGCTATTCTGACACCTTAGCTCTTGGAGTGCAACACCGGAATCCATAGTCGGATTAGCACATATAATGTCAGGAACTGGAAGGCTATGCACAATGCCGGGTCTAGGATCATGTTAAATATTTTGCTGCTGACAATGTGGGCGTACCATTGCATACTCCTCTGCTGCAGAACTCGTCCCATAGCACCAGGAGGACCGATAGATATTTTTATCGTGGTATAAAATTCAATCATGACCTGAACGAACAGGATCACTCGCTTTGTGCGAAACAGAACTGTAGAGTCGGTATGTACAACAGAGTAACACCCTCGCTTTGAACCACAGCATGCCATCCTTAGCGTGAGAGTGCTTCATCTATTTCATATTCTGGATTTTGGTATTAGTAACGGATGTTTGTGTCAAAAGCATTTGCCTCAGGATCTCCGACCAACACCGTGAGTTAGCACAGAAAAAAGTGTTTGCGCTGCGCAAAGATTTACCGCTGGGGCATCGCCAGAGCACGTCTGCAGCGAACTTGGTGGTGCCTCTAAGACGCTTTTTTGCAAATTCGCAGTCGCACTGTGGGAGGCCTGCGAGCCGGCGAACAACTCCAAGGTTACCAGATTCGTGAAACTTTTCGTACGGTGCATAAAGACTGGTAGGCGGTGCGGGAAGTAAAATGACGCCCACATGAATAGTGTCGGCACTTTACTTGTCTCATGCACTGCATGGAGTTCCTACTCCAGCTTTTGATACAACTGCTCGGTTTCGGCAAAGCGAATAAATCGCAAGCCGAAATTTGGTGATTCGGAGACGCCACGGCCGATTGAAAAAGAAAACCTCCCACTGCCACGTCACTAGCATCCGTTGTTTGGAAGGGAAAATGCTCATAACTAAGTAGCACAAGTATAGGGGGTGTTGTAAGGTGGCCGATTACCATCCGCGGGCCGGCATCAGCTTCGTGTCTCCCGGTCATAGAATGCGCTCCCTTGAGTCGATCAGCCAAAGGAGCAGCGAGCCGAGCAAACCCAGGCTTGAAGCTCTAGTAGGGTGCAACCCCGTATAGCTATGTAACGTCCTTGCGGTTGTGGAAAGGTAACGGCCATACCCTAAGTATTCAGGTTTTTGCCAGATATAGCTCAATCCATGTAGCCGAAATTGAAATGCCCATAAACACAATGGTTATCGTAAACAACGAAGATCCTGTCCTTTTTCATGCGCTCATAAGAATCTTGATCAGTCTGCCTCCGCAGTTTAGCTAAGGCAAGGGCATACGGCATGCAGGTATACTGGAGTTTTTTCGTGAGTGTGGAATGCCATTTCGTGCCTGAGTTCACAGCGAATACGGATGTGTAACAGAGCAGTTGTGAGGTTAAACATGCGGAGTACACTTTGATCAGTACGTTTTGTTGGGTGATTCGCCAATACAGACCATCAGGAATTCGTAAGCTCCACTTTTCTCGTTCTGGGGCTGAAAGTTCGCACATGTTCGCAACCTTCCATCCAGTACCAACATCGGCGTCTGCCAAAGCATTCCTCGGTTCACTCACCTC